ATTAAAAAAAAAGTCATAGAAGAAAAGCATAAAATTGAAAAATTCTATTTGATATACTCTCACAAAGTATCTTTTTAATTTCCTGGTTATAGTTAATGTTTATCCTTTTGCATCTCATTGCATTCTTTTGATTTGAGCATCACTTCTAACCTCTAGTGTTTGTGCTACCATCACAGCCAGACTTCTAGAAGGTTCTAACACTCTAACATAGATGTTTGACTGTGGCGGCCAGGGGAATGTGTTAGACACGACTTCCTTTGTCTTCTCTTGGGCTCTTTCTTCTGGGCTTTTTATAGCACTTGCCAGAGCTAGCTCCCTAAACCCCCTTCTCCTTGGCTTCTGTGATCTGTAGCCTCTGCTGTCTATCTGGACTGCTCTTCTTTGCTCTTCTTCCCCACTCTGTGTCAGTACTGTGTTTTCAGAGTTGTCATCTGTAGTCTTCTCTTTTTTCCCTCTCACCACACCTTCAAATAACATTTCTAGGTGGATGATGCCCAAGACTATTATTTCCTGGTATCTAACCTAGTTATCTGTTGGCCATTTTTCTCTGAATCTCTGCTAATGCCAACCTAGTGAATGACCCCAAAACCAGTAGCCTTCCTGTTAAATTTTCCCTACCACTTCCCCATTTTCTGTATTTCTCCTTACAGTTGCTCTAACTTGACAACTCCCCACCCCTGCAGCATGTAAGACCAGTTCTGGGATCTGTCATTTCTAGGTCTGTCAGCATTGTTTGAATTTCCATTCTCTAGCACCTGGATTAGGTTTCTGAAATAGTCTCCAGTGGACATCAACTTCCTGGCTGAGACACCTTCCAGCTGTATCTGCAGTCATTTTGGTGCTGGCATGACACACATGTAACCACACCAGGATCATCAGCAACTGTTCCCTAAATTTGAGTGCATCTTCATGTCTTTGCTCAATTTACTTCTTTCCTGAAATGCCCTGTTCCCACTCTTTCTGCACTCTAAATGTGTCTGGCACAATTACTGCTCTCCTTCAATGTCGTTAGGATACTTGATGTCAGTCATTAAAGGAGACTGAAAAAAAACACATTCAGAGATGTAAGATTACAGAGGGCCTAAGAGCACTATGCTCCTACAAAAGAGATACATCAAAGGTCAACACTATTGAGGGGAAATTGAAATTAGAAAGTCCACAATGACTCTTCTCAAGAGCTGCCTATACTCATCATCTGCAATTCCTCTTCTTCCCTTCTCCCTTAAATCTACTCTGGCTTGGCTCTCCATCACTCCACAGAAATTGTTCTTCAGAGGCATCAATGGCCTACTTATTGTGAAATCCATGGCCAATTTCCAGCCTTCTTCCTCCTCCAAAACATGCCCTATTTCATCTCAACCGATAATAATTCCATCCTTCCAAGTGATCAAGCCAAAAATCTTGGAATCATCCTAGACACTTCTCTCTCTAGCTCTCAAATTTCCAAGCCAATAGGCTCAGAATATATCCAAAACCACCATGTCTCACCTCCTCCACTGCTACCACACTGTCATCTTCTGCCTGATAAGTTATTTATTTTACTGTACTGAGGCTTGATCTTCACCAGCCACTCCACCAGCCCTTTTTGTGATGGGTCTTTTTGAGTTAGGGTCTTGCAAACTATTTTCCCTGGCTGGCTTCAAACTGCAATTCTACTGATCTCTGCCTCCTGAGTGGCTAAGATTACAGGCATGAGCCACCAGAGCCCAGCTTCTGCCTGGATTCTTAAGTAGCCCCTGTTCCTTCTCTTTCCCTCCCCAGCCCAGTCTATTCATAACCCAGCAGCCAGAAGGAGCTCTGTCAGGTCACCTCACTCTTGCCAGCCCAATCCCATGTCAGTCAGAGAAAGTAACTGCCTGTGGGGCAGCTCTTTGCATACTCTTCTCTGGCTCCTTTTACCATGACTGCAGAGTAAAAGGAACATTAAGCTCCCTGATATTCTTGAACCACAGGCTGTTCTTCATGCCTGGAAAATTCATCCCTCAGGTATCCTTGGGCCAACTCCCCTACCTTCAAGTCTCTGTTCAAGGAAGCCTACCCTAGCCATTTCTTCTACTTTTCTCTGTTTCTTTTTTCTACTATACTTGCCACTTTCTAATACATCATGGAATTTACTTACTTCTTATGTGTATCATCTTTCTCTGCCTGCTAGAATGTAAGGTCTTATATATCCCAAACATCTACAGTAGTGCTTGGCACATAGCAGAAATAGTAATAATATCTGCTGAATCAAAGAATGAAAGTCTAGTTAGATGAAGTACTAAGGACCTAAGCTAGTTTACATAGGCCCAGAAGCAAATGAATGTGAAAAAATGAAAGCATAGAGGGAAAGGAATTTGCAATATATCTAAGCCCTTCCATTTCTATGTATGCTCACTCTAACATATGAAAAGCACATCTATTTGAAATATGGTTATTATTTTTATTTAAAACAAGACACTATGAAGGATATAACAACACTAACATTTTAAGCATCAATACATAACAAGCATGACATCTTTGAATCTTTATAAATATTGACCATCCTTAAGTATCAATATTCTCACCATAATGCTAGATCATATGCAATTTGAGAAAAGAGAGCAAAACTGGTTAGCAATTTAGTAAGTCAGATAAAAGCTAATCACTGAAATTCTCAAGTTTTTTACTTTTTTGCTGCAGTAAGTAACAAATACAAATAAAGTATAATAATTATGTAATAAAATACAAATGAAAACATACAAATATATTAAGCAACTAATATTGTGAAAATATATGAGTAGTACATGAGAAGCACTCTTATATTCCTATAAATATGATTCTTGGCATTGATTTTGGCCTATTTCCATAGATTTTTTAAAGTAATGGCTGATTTCTTAAGCTTCTGGATATACGTAAACAGAAAATCTTAAAATAGTAATGATTCTAAAACTAATGCACAATTGGAATGTAAAGAGTAATTTGCCAGGAGGTTGGGGGAATGAGAGGGACCATACTGCATACAAATCACCAAAAACTTGAAATAAAATTTAATTTTCCCTAATTGGATTTGCAATTATCTTGGCTTTCAGAAACTGCAATCTTTAAAATGAACCAAAATCTTCATTGATTTCTCTGATGAATCCTAACATAGAAATTTTGTCTAGAACATTTTTTCTGAACATGGAATATTAAATCAGTAATCTATCTACCAGTCTATAGTAAATCACATACACACACACACACACTAACATGTACATTTTAACTTTCATTAGGACAAACATTATAGAATAAAAATAAACCTACTTTATTCAAGGAAATAGACTAATATTAACATAGTAGGCTTTCCATGTAGGTTAATATTTATCTGAATTAAATACTATGCTGTAAATTCTAGATTGTAGATATAATAAAGTGCAGGAGGAGGGCAATCAAGGTTCTTTACATAAGGAACTGGGAGATACTACATGGACTTCAGCATTACACTTATCTGTTAACTACTGTGTTTAGACTAACATTTAATAATACAGAAGTCTTTGCTGCCTTAAAGAATGACAGCTCAGCAGGAAGCAGCCTAGGAATTTACAGAGCAGTGGGAAGCTGGTTTAAGAATGAGCACATATGTGGATGACTGTGCTGACCACATATGCATATTTATGAACATTACTTTCATAAACAAATACTGTCACTCAGCACAGCCTCACAAATAAAATGACATTCCACTCTACTGCAGTCTGCTAGCTGTCTATACTACCACCTTCAGAAGGAGAAAGTTGTGTCTAAAAGGGCTTTAAACAAAATGTATGTTCCTATGAAAATGGTAAATTGGGAAATAGAGATAATTTTGGAACAGAAATGACATAATTTCAGGAGTGAAAGTTACATTCACAGTTTGAAGGAGAGTTTGTACTTATTTTTGTTTAACTGCAATGATTTAGAGAAGTGGTAGAGACAGTAAACTACATTTAACTAGTCAAACTTCACCTTAAACTTGGTTCTCTACTGGTTCTTTTGATGAAATAAGGGTCATTTCAGTGGACTAGTCAATGAAGGTTTTTGTTTTCTTTTAAATGTATTACAACAGTTATTTATTTTATAAAATAAACACCTACAAACATGTGAAAGTCAGAATAATACTTATTAGGTAAGAAACTCTATTTGCATTTCTAATTTTTCAAATGTTAGATAGTCATTTGTGATATGGACCAGAAGGTCATTCTGGACATTGCTTCAAAACATATATAGCTCTAAGCTGAGCCACAAGCTCAGAGAATTTGCTAGAGTCTGGAACATCAGCCCTTGGAGCTTGGACCATGACCATCTCATGTGTTTCAGTACTGGACACAGAGCTTGGTCCACTGCTCACATAGTGGTGGTTAATGAGTAGTGCTCACCACAAAACTTCCACTCTACTAAAGGCTCTAGTTTTGCTGTGAAATAGGGTTTATATATTCAGGGCTCCTGGATAGTTTGTATATAAAAACAAAAATGAAAAACTGATCCAATGGAGATATAGTAGGTACTGCTAAAGTGTTACATATATTTTTTCTATAAAAATACACTGTATCTTATGTTTCCGATAAGTGAAACATGAGTAAAAGTCCTCATGAGTGAAATTATATGATTTCTTGAATTTACTTTAAAATGTTACAGCCAAAAGATTGGGAGGAACAGATAAACTGTGGCAAAATATTAACAACTGGTAGATCTGGATGATAGGCACTTAAGAGGTTCTTCATGTTATTATCTATACTTTGTGTGTGTGTGTGGTTTGAAAACTGACAATAAAAATGAATTCAAATAAATTTCAGTGACAAAAAATAGTAAGGGAAAAATAAAAACATTTTCAAGTATCAAAAGTGCTACATAAGATAATTGGGTACTTTGCAAAGATCTATAGAAGACTATTTACATGACTATTACAATAGTGAAAAGTTGGGAACAACTCAAATGTCAATGAAATGAACATGGAGCTAGTTAAGAAATGATACATCCACACACAATGGCATATTATGGGAAACATTGAAAAGAAAATCATAGAGTGAAAAAGGAGGCTCTGCAGCAGCACACTGACCCTAATTCATGCTCAATGCTCCAGAAGACACATCTGGAAGAGGGTTCACCAGTGTTCAGAGTGGTCAACTCTGCAAAGAGGAATTGTAGATGGTTTTTTACTTTTTTCTTGAAACTGCTTTGTATCACTCAAACTCTTCACAAAAGTATATATTAATTTTATATTTAGGGGGAAATACTTTCTATAATGATATCCTACAATTTTTTCTCATGTAATTCTTTCTAGCTAATAGAATGAGTTAATATTAAAAATTGTGTCATGTCTTAAGTAACTTAAAGTAAGAAAGTGCTATATTTCTAAAGCAGTATGAAATCTGGAAGTTTTATTTCTCTATAAAAATATAAATAACAATTTTAAGGCACATACATTTTTCCTCAATCACCTACTGAGTACATTAAAATGTAAAATGTCTTTGTATATGCCATAATATACCCCTGGCACAACAATTAAAAAAATGAAAAATGTCAAAAACTACATAAAAGAGCTGTATAAAAACAATAAAAATATATATAATACAACATCACAGCATAAATAGGAATTGACTTAAATACCTTTTAGTTAATTCAAATCAGGCTGAAAATTCTATTATAGAAAAAAATAACATTTGGAAGAAAAAAGAACAATGTTTTCTTAGTTGGTTCTTAAAGAATTTGAAAGTATTCCAATAGCTCTATTTAAAAAGTATTTGTGGATATTTTAGTAATATGTTTGTTCCTAGAATAGAACAGATGGCAGCATGGAATAAAATGTAATTTCCAGATGCATGGTTTTGTGAACTCTGTACCAGGGAATCAGCATTATCAATTACATCTCAAATTTAAATTTAGTTGGCTCCGCAGCACTTGAGAGTAAATTTTAATTTAATAATTAACCTTTGGAGCCTTACTTTAAGGTCTGTTGTCTTTGTGGTATCTAGCAGGAAGGTAGTCTAGTGAAGGTCACAGTCCTGCTGGGCTGGTTTTCTAATCTGGGAGACCCCAGATTAGCAGGAGAGGTAGCTCTCAGGGGCCTTCCTCCATGCCATTCCTCTTTGGGGTCTTTACAACAGAAGTCAGTTGCTATACCAGTCCTCATTCAAGGGAGGTGCCATTCCCATTATTTCCTATTTCCTTGATGACTTTTAAAGGTTCAAGGAATTTAAAAGTTGCTCATTCTTACCAAGAGACTGAGCCTCGCTAAGTGTGGGACTCTCATTCTTAATAATGTAAAGCAAAACAAATAAAAAGTTATTACCTCCGTGACGTAGTAGACATTCTCTTCATATCTAAGCTTTAGGAATGATGAGCAGTTTCTTTGGTTTTGATTCATCCAAGTCAGGTATCTGTATCAGATTGATGAACAGCATTTTGTTACAAATTAACTTTGTTACAAACTAACTAGGGAAGATATTCTGCTTCTGTTTATTGTGTTTCTAGGTGATTTTGAGCAAATCACTTAAATTCTTATTTAAGGGTTTTAAAGGCCTTACATATCATGAGTACTTTAAAGGAAAAAAACACTTACCTGATTCCTAAAAGAACTGGATCGACCATGAGTAGTACTGGAATGCTTCTTTGAAGTTTCTGAAGACTCTGGACATAATTTTCTTTTGGACCTATGGGCTCTTCTGCTTACTATCATCCTGTGGTCACTGACATCAGCTTCTTTAGTTTGGTTTTCTGATCCCTGCTGTAGTTGTTGGGAATCTTCAGTTTCTATGTCTGATTCAAAAATGTGTGGCTGTCTTTTCAGTTTTAGTGACTCATGGCTTTTCCCTAAAAGTTGTGTTATACACCTGCTTGTTAAGTTGTCTTTTTCATTCACTTGGCAGTCAACAGCACTTTTTATCACACCTACATTGTTACTTGACATCTGTAACACTGCTCTGTTAGTTAGCTGGTAACTTTCATTGAAGCTCACTGTTGATATTCCACTAGAAGAAGGATATTTCGTCTTATGTTTATTGGGTTTGGTATTTTTTTCTTGCAGAGGTCTGGAGTTCTTCTGATTTAAATTTCTAGCATGTTCCTGCATGTTGCTGTTTGGTCTTTTTTTTAACAGCTGGATCTAAATTCAGTTTGTCTTCCTGGGCTATACTAGTTTTAAGTGAAAAATTTAGATTCTGTAACAACATGCTGTTTTCTTTTCAGGTTGTGAAGTGCTGAGATATTTTTGTTCATCTGTAACGATCTATTTTTGAAAACTGGTATGAATTTAGGGACGTTACTTTGGGAGCTAAGACTTGTATATTGAGCTTGTGTGTCTCCTCCACTGAGCTTGGGTTTTGCCTCTTCCAGAGGTAGCTGTGGTACCTTTCGAGACAAGTACTGCTTTGTACCCTGAGCAGACTTTGGCTGGTGGTGCAGAGCTGAGGAAGGGACCGACTGTAGCAGGCGGACAGGCTCCACCTTGTGGTCTACTGTGATTGAACATGAGAGGTGACTTGGAGCCCAGGTGGGTTTCATGGAAGTGGCCTGAGTCAGAGAAGCTAAACTGTTTTTAGTGGTCAGATTGGGTGGCTTGACTTTGTTTTTTCTGAAAAGGATAGAGATTAGGAAAAAATTAAATTTAGTAATGCCTTTAACTGAAAAAAATAACAAAATTAGAATATAAAATAACACTACAATATATAGAATGAAGAAAAAATATAAATGAGCCCTCTGGTGTACCAGGTACATTTCTTTGGCTTGTATCTTTCTTTAGCTACAATCTTCCCAGATAATGAAGGCATATCCTAACTTCTATGCAAATCAACTGTAAAAACTGTACACATAGCTATCATTGTCCTCCAATGCTCATGCAGCATCTTGCTTGGATTGTCTCCTTCTCCCCACTGTTCTAAGTTGAGGCCTCCACTGTCTTTAAAGTCCCATGTCCTTTGAATCCTCCAACAGTCAACCTACTATAAGGTGGCTGTTTTTCTCCCAACTCCAAGATTCTAACAATTCATACTTATTTGTCACAAAATAGTGCCAGGTAGTGAGTGGTCTAATGTTTTAGAGAGCATGCTCTACTTCTTTACATAAACACATGGTAATAATCATGACTTATTTATTCTAATCTTTTTCAAAATTACTTAAAAATAGTTATTGAAAAAAACATTAAATTAACAGATGAGGTGGCTGCCCCTGCACTAGGCCTTTATAAAGGGGATTTTGACTCATGAGCAGGGCTGTCTGTGACTTAATCCTGTTTGTATTTTCATTATCTACTACAATGCCTGGTGCCTGGTAGCAACTCAGCAAGTGTCTATCAAACTGACTAGTCAGATACATTAAAGAGAGCCAAGTGTTCAGTCTTCTTTAAATATACATACATATATATGTAATAAAATTTTCAACTATTTTAAAATGCACAATTCAGTGGCTTTAAGTATAATCACCACTGAACTTGTCTGATGTAACCATTACCCAACCTTTTTCTTTATCACAAAGAAAAAAATTTACTTCATGAATAATAATCCACATTTCCTTCCTGGTTGCTGGTAACCTCTATTCCACTTTCTATGAATTTGGCCATTCTAGATACCTCATATGGAATCATATAATACTTTTCTTTTAGTGTCTGGCTTATTTCACTTAGCATGTTTTCAAGGTTCATCTATGTTGTAATATATATCAGAATTTCATCCTTTTTATAGCTGAATATTCCACTGTATGTAGATATTAGATTTTATTTATCCATTCATCTGTTGATGGAGCACATTTATAGTCTTTAAAATACATATTTAGTGAGTTTTAATGTCTGTGAAAGAGTGATGTGGTAGTAATAATCGGAAGCAATGGACATAGAAGTTTATTTTCTTACTCTTCCACTCAAAAACATGTCAGAGCTTTGAAACAAAAAATTAAAAAACTTCCAGGAATAACATACAAAACAGAGCAAATTGATTTTTACTCTCTACTCTGAAGTTCAGTCGTTGAGTAGGTTGAAAAGGATCTAGGAGGAGAGTTTTTGGGAAATCAGAATTATAAAAAAGCGCAGAATAAAATAAGAAATGGACACAATTATCTATTAAGCATAACAAGTCAACATAACATATTGGGTGGGCTTGGGGCCAGGCATGGTAGTTCAAAGGCAGTCATGGTGGCTCCATGCCTATAAATCCCAGAACTTGGTAGGTGGAGGCAGGAGGGCACCAAGTTTGAGGCCAGCCCTGAGCTACAGGATAGAGAAACCCTATTTAAAAAAAATGAGAAATTAAAATTAAAAAAAAAAGCAGTAGGACTCAACACATAAACTTGGGAGGATATGATTCATATATCTCTGGAAATGTGAAGAAGATGTGCAGCTGTTCTTTTGAAGACCCTGTGTAACAAAGGAGTTAGTGTTAAACTAAAAATTGTCTAAGAAAACTTATATATATCTTTGCCAAGGAAACCATTTTGAGCAGAAAAACCACATCAGACCATTTCAGGAAATGAAGGACTCCTTCCCCAGTGGATATGGTGAATTGGGTGTTCAATTCCCATCCACTTCATCCTGGCGTTCCTTCCTGACTAGGACACATACACATACAATGTTTGGATGGAGGAAGGAAAGTAAAGCCGCATTTGTGTTGCCATGTTTTGCTGAGAAGCTTTGAATTATGAAATGTCTTCTTTTGATTTCAGGTGCAATTTGCAGTGCGCTGGAGTGTCTTACTCACCAGCTCTGGTGTGGCCCGATGCAGACAGGAGTTATATATCCACCTTCTCTGCTACAGGATCATATAGGCCAAACAATGCTAAGTGCACCCCTGCCCCTGCCTGCCTTACCCACACTATATTAAACGATTGTTTTCTCAGCTTTTTAAAAGAAAAAGAAGCATTCAAGAGTAAGTTGAATTACTTTGAACTTAATTTACAGAGAAGCAAAAAAACTTTTGGACCCTAGGTTTCACAAACCTTTAGTAGCTTTTTTGATGGTGAGCTGGGGTTAAGACAAGGGCTTGTCCTTTGTTGGCAGGTGCTCTATCACTTAGTCCTCCCTGGATATAGCAATTTTGGTGATGGTTATTTTTGAGCAGAGTCTTGTTTATACCTGGGATGGCGATGGACAGTGATCCCTCCTATTTGTGCTTCCCCCTGCATAGTTTGGGATGACCACTGTGTAACACTGAGCCGTAAACATTGGGTTGAGATAGGGAATCCTTTGTGAATTTTTTTGCGCCTGGCTGGCTTCCAAACTGCAAATCCATCTCTAACTTCAATAGCTAGGATTATAGGTTGACCACAAAACCTCAACCTTAAATGTAGTAACCCTAAATGATATAATCTGTGACTTGGGATACCCCAAAGAAAAAAGCTCTAGGCAGAATTCACTTAAAGGATAAATTAACTTTTGGCCATTTTTTGGACCAAATAACCTTTTCCCCCCCCCCAAGAACAATATGTGTCTTGTGTTTGAAACATTCACAGGAGCTTCCGAGATGGCGCTAGAGATTAGGAAGAGAAAGCGACCCTCCTATAGTGAAATCTTGGAGAGACGCTGGAGACACACTTTGCAGGCATAATCACTGAGAAAAGGCATAACTTTGACCCCTCCACATCTCCAGCCGGTGCAGAGAATCTCCACTTCACGTTAAACGGAGAAACGAGGAGGGCCCCCGGGGCCGCCAGTGGCCGGGCCCATACGGCTTGGGAAGACGGGACCAGGTGAGCTTCGTGGTACCGTGGTACCCCACAGACAAGCCTGGGCCAGAGCAGCATAGCCCCCTGGACAGACTGACCTCCACCCGGGAAAAAAAAAGAGAAACTGAGTAATAAGCAATAAGAACAGTTAAGACACGCTGGAAAGAGGGTGGGCGCCCTGAGCGCTGAAGATTGGGGAAGGGAATCCTTCCCGGGACTGTAAATAAACAAGCCGGGCGGCGGAGAGCCTCTGGCGGAGCGGGGAAGCTTGTGAGAGTGGAGGAGGGAAAACTCCACAGAGAGGAGGGAAACCCACTTCCCACGTGAACTGTAAATAAACATGGCGGCCGGCAGGAGCAGCAGCACGCCCAGTAAGCAGGAGCAGGAAAGATCTGCATAAACAACGCCTCCAGCACAGGCAAGCTGACAGCAGAGGCAGACAAGCCCACAGCTGTCAATTACCATCACAGACCTATCTCTAGACTCTTTTCTTCTCCCTACCTTTGATGAGAAGAACAACCAAAACACACTGCAAGCTGAAAAAACTTACTGAAACTGTATTGCATTGAACTTGGACACTTTGTGGGTTTTTTTTTTTTTTGTTGTGTTTGTGGTTTTGTTCTACTTTATTTATTCCCCTTGATGAGACAACTACAGAACAACATCTGAGGCACCATCTCCAGGATTGGGCTGAGACAACACCAAATTATTAAGACTGAAACTTCATTGCATTTGAACTTGGAGTTTTTTTTTTTTTATTTTTTTTTTTTTTCTTTTTATATATTTATTTCACTTATTTTTTATTTTTTATTTTTTTTTTCTTTTTTTTTTTGATTTTCAATCCTCTCTCTGTCTCTCTAATGTCTGTTCAGCTTACTGTGATTAGTACACTCTCCCTTTTACCTTTGAAACTTGTTTGTCTTGTTTGTTTTTTCTCCTTTGTTTATTTGTTTTCCCTTTTCTTTAACTTCTTGCTTTCCATCTCCTCACCCTTCCATTCTAAATATTACCATGTTATTATTACAAGCTAGAAAATACTTAATTGCACACAGTACAGGGACAGTAACAACACCAAGGACAATGACAGGAAGACAGAAAAAAACAGGGAAACCAGTTTCCCCACAGCAAAAAATTAGTACAGGAACCAGAGGGAAATGAAGAAAACAGATAACTCAGATCCAGACTCCAACAAAATGAAGATAAACTATGCCAAAGAACCCAATGAAGCCCACAAGAATAATTTAAAAGAAGACATACTACAGGTACTCAATGAGAATTTTATAGAGATGATACTGGATATGGTCAACCAAAATGTACAGGAGACACTCAAGAAATTCCAAGACAACAAAAATAGAGAATTTGAAAAAGCAAAAGAAGAAATAAAGGAAACCATAGAAGCACTGTATAAACACCAAAGTGAAACAGAGAACATGAAATAAAAGATAAATGAACTCAGAAAAATAGAAACATTAAAGAGGAAAACAGGATATGGAAAACCTCAGAAAAAAGAACGAAAACAGAACTGCAAAACAAAATGGAAGGCCAATCCAGCAGAATAGAACAAACAGAAGACAGAATCTCAGAACTTGAAGATGAAATGGTAATTAAAGGAAAACCGAAGAACTATTAATTAAACAACTCAAGACCTGTGAAAAGAAAATGCAAGAACTCACGACTCCATCAAAAGACCAAACTTGAGAATCATGGGCATCGAAAAGGAGAAGAGGTGCAAGCGAAGGGAATGCGTAATATATTCAACAAAATAATAACAGAAAATTTCCCAAATCTAGAGAAAGATATTCCCATACAGATGCAAGAGGCCTCCAACACCAAACAGACCAGATCAAAATAGAACTACCCACGACATATCATCATTAAAACAACAAGTTCAGAAACTAAGGAAAGAATATTGAAGGCTGTA